ATTTTTGGAAAAATAAACTTGTTCGACTGGATCATTTTGTTTCCACGTGTCATTTTTATTCCGTCAGAAAAGCATTAGTTATAGCAAATGGCATGGTTATTAGAGATTTCAATCACATATTTCAAGGGCATCTAACGAATTAAGAGGAACGAGACTGACATGTTAATGAAATACGATCGCGCGAATTCTATATCACTATCAATAATATCATGTATTAATATTGTCATCATATGATATAAGAAGATTCTTATAACATGGTCGTCATGGTCTGGTTCCACCAATATAAGATTAATTTTAACTTATTGTTTATCTTTTTCAAATTCTTAGAATCTTAGAATTCTTAAAAGGAAAAGAATAAAAATAAACCAAGATTAAAGTTAATCTTACATTGGTGTAACGTCACCGGACTTTATTTGTTTTTTTATCCTGCACTGTACAGACTAAACTAGAAACCTCTTTCTTGCTTTCGTCAAATATCAAATATATATACCTATTTCACTTTAAGTTCCAAAAGTGTACATTAGTTCAGAATATATTAAACAGACCTAACATAATCGAGAGAGCCACTTGAAAGAAACGTTTAGTTGGCGTCACGCCGCCACTATTATAGGATTGTGTGAGAGTGAATTTAGATAATGGAAAGGAATAAACGTATCGGCAAAAGCAGAATTTTACCGCGCGATGCGCAGAACCATCACTGGATGGAATCGTCGGAGACAGTACCGTTATATCAAACTCGTGCTAACCTAAGCAACGAGGGAACGTGCGTGGAATTTGGAAAACCACCTTGATCGCGCAAAATCTTGATCAAGCACGGCCAAGCGAAGCGAGATTGTCCTGAAACTCCCGGAAAAGTGTTCCGGAAGAGCGTCTCGTAAGGAACTCTGGAGAGAAAGTCGACTAGTCACGACCTCGTGGAGATCCAGCTGTCAAGCGGCACTGACGTGGGCGGCGGGAGGTCAGATTTTACGAATTGTCTTTTAAACAACAGGTTTTGCATCTCGTTTCCTGCTGGGAGTCTCCGAAAAACGTGCCACTAGTTACGTGCGACTAATTTTTATCTCTCGCTTCATCTCTTAGACAGAGATTCGACATTCTCTTTCTCTCCGGATTTGTTACGTGGATCTCGGGTGATGGAAGTTCGGCGCAGACGAGCGAGACCACAGGATAGCAAGCACGACGCCGACGCAACGGATCAGTCAAGGACGGTTCAGAGGGATGAGGTAAGCCGCGACCTTTAAATACGATGATTTTCTTGGCGGGTGTAGATCATGCAGATGGAAGATCTGCAAAATCTAGGAAATGCAGAGAATCATATGCGGAAATATATCTGCAGCGTTTTTGAATCACTCCGTGAACAGTATATGAATTTTTTAATTTAGTGAAAAACTAGGAGCATTTTACAAGAGAAAAATATTTTCATGTCATTAATATCAATTTTATAAATTTTTTTCAGTATTATGTCTTAATTAATTAAATTTCGGAAATAGATTAAGCAATGCTATATCTTCTAAATTTAGTTTCAAATATATTGTGAAAAAATCTGAAAAAAAGTAAAATCCCATTATATTTTATTGATATTGTGAAATATTTAATATATTAAAAAAAGATTTAGGATAGAAATGGTCTCCTACTTAATCTACTTTTGCAAAGAAGAAACAATTAAAGAAATTTTAAACTTATCAAAAGATATAAAATTGAAAGAGCGAGTATGACATTTCCATCTATTGTATTAAAAATCTATTGCATTTATATGTAATAAAAAATAAAATTTAAATTATATATTATATATATCGATATGTATAATATATACAGTGCTTGAATTAATTCTCACTGTTGACCTATACTATATATATTATATAATATATAGTTCGGAAAATTGCCCATAATATTTCGGGAAATGATTCGGAAAAGAAGAAAAAAAGCTTACTTATATAAATATTCGAAAATAAATCATTTTCAAATTATAACCACTTTCATATTTAAAAAATTATAATTTATTTTTTATAATCACAATCGTAATTTATTTCATAGTGTTTTAACACAAATAATTACATTTCGGAATAGTTTGGTGTTATCCAGAATGCATCACGTAGAGATATAGCCCGCGGGCGATTTTCCGGACACCCTGTATATTTAAATCCTTTATTTTTTCACATAAAAACATATTGATTAAATAATACCTCAGCAAGATTTCTATAAAGATATATCTTTTGAAATCACTATTATATAATATTTTCATTACTTGCAGTTTCTTCCAAAATCAATTAATTATCAGATTTGATTGCGTCATGTTGATGATTGCATTGATTTTTATTTGTTATAGGCGAATGGACAGACAAATTCGAATACTACTTTGATAGAAAGTAATAAAGCAAATTCATCATATTCTATCGAGTCAAAACAACCTCTATCAAGCAATGTGGTGCATGCTCGAATTAGAATCAGCTTGGAGATTGACCTGATAGCGGTGATTTTACTAATTTCCGGTATTTGCACTCGTCTTTATTGTCTTGAGGAACCGCGTAGTATAGTGTAAGTGTATACGCATTTTTGGCAAATAATATAACGCTGATAAAGGAGAAATTAATAATTGATAGTCATTACGATGATATAGAGAATTTTATCTGCTTATAAATAAAAAACTTTTATTTTTATAATTTCTATTATTATTTCTAGATTCTTTCAAACATTTTAAGACAAAAATCCTAATACGAAAATGTTGTGACTATAATAATTTTTGAATTACAAACTATTTTTGATCAATTATAATTCAAAAACTAGTGTACCTCGACAGTTTTGTATTAGGATTTTTTACTCTATCTCTAAAATACGCTATAAAAATATTATACGGTATATATTATACGGTGTGAGACATCTTGTATGTGTATGTGTGTGTGTATGTGATAT